TGGAGTTTGCATTTTTAAAATTCCTCGCAATGGATCTGGAATAAATCAGCAATGGGTCAAACCGGTTCAGAAAGTGTTTGAATAACTGCCCATGGAGTGGCCAGAGGTTCTCCGTCAGCAGAGTATTTTGACTGCTGCTGTTCAATTACTATTTGAGAAAGCAGGACTGCTGGGAAAGACAACACAAGGTAAACCAACACTGGCTACAAAAGCAATCAGTGCACCAATATCCACAGTGCACAGCCCGGCCCCAGAGACCTTCCCAAAGCAGCTTCACCTCGCGATGCTCCGAGCCAGCAGCCTCCACACAGCCAAGGTGAGGGGCTGTCAACAAATCGGGGCAGCCCGAAATATCTCATTTTATCTCCATAATAGAAACTGTAATTGACAAATCATTATTTTACATTTATAAAATATATGATGAGGAACATACCACATGCATTCTAGACTTTCTGTCTGCACTGGAAATCAGCTGGGAAATTAGGAGGTATGGCGTAGAAACATCACTACGAATATACCGTATTACTGCTTTTGCAGCTGCAGCCCCAGAATTTGTTTCACAATAATTCAGTTACCCATGTTTAAACAACCAGCCAGCAGAAGAAAGGCTGATATATTTCATATGCATTCTCTTTGAGCAGGGGGGCCTTCACGTCTGGTCGAAAAATGTCAGGCTCATATGACACCACCAGAGTCAGGAGAGATGCCTAACCATAACTAAAAGCAGAATTTGGCCAACACAATTGGAAAATACCAGCAGAGTATATACAAATGCACACACGCAATCTCATATAAGAGCAGAGAATGAGACAGATTGGATTTTTTAATCACACCTTTAAAGAAAACAACATTTCATGTACAAACCTCTCACTGCACTCCTACGTGGATCCTTTATCCCACTGCAACATAAACAGACATACCAGAGTCTGGAGTAGGGAAGAAAGATTTTTTTTTTTTTTCCTTCCCATTGAGGATTTTAAACACAATTTAAAAAGCAAAAGAACAGATCTGGCCTGCCTTCCAAACTGACTTCAATAATAGATAAACAGTTTTAAGACTACCACAGTCAGCAAGTACATACATAAGCTTTACATTAATACACTTACCTATATTTTTAGGAGAGTTTCATTTTTCCTCGTTGTTCTTGGTTTCCTCCAGCATATAGTCCACAAGAAAAAAAACTAGACATTTTTCCTGATTCACCAAAACCATGCTTTTACAACGAATAACCTAATGGTTTAAATATTATTCCTCAAAACTTCTTATCCAAAGGAAAGCAGCCTTTCTATCAGCTTCCATACCAATTCCTACAAGTTTTGTCTCATCTTTCTAAGATCATTCAATCAAACCAATCCTCCAGAAAGGAAGGATTTTAGCTTGCATCCTGCATGCAGAGCCTGACTTGAAGCTGCCATTCCCTTCTTCAAGTCTCGTATCTCTGATGCACTTATTGGTAACACCTGAGGGCTTTGGTACTTTACAAAAACAAAGTGGGTCTCAGGACTGGCAAAGACATAACCAAACACAAACATTTGAAGTTATTACTAAAAAACCAAGATTCTGAAACAGCATTTTTAACAAAATTAAACAGATAAACTTTGGTGCAAATTAAAAACAACTCTCTTGTATCTGAGCCCATAATGACTATTTTGAATACACATTATTTACTGCTGGCAATAAAGAAGTTTTTTGGTAACTTTTCTGTTATTGGGAAAAGCTTGAATACAATCCAGTCAAAAAAAAAATGCTGACTTTCCTAAATAGGGGCTGTGTTTTTGCAATAAAGAATACCGGTCAATATACAAGTGGAGGAAAACTGAACCAGATGTCAGTAATAGGACCACAGAACATTGCATTTGCCCAGAATCGCTATTTTAAACACATGATGTTGGTCTACTGGTTTGTGGGATAATACATTCTTGGCAGCCAGAAAGAGTTCCGATATGTTAGAAGGTTATCCTTGAGCAAAAAAAAAAAAAAAAAAAAAAAAAAAAAAAAAAAAAAGAAAAAAGGAGAAAAGGAGGAGGAGGAGGAGAAATGAGGTAAAGAAAGGCCACTAATTCATCAAGTTACCTATAGCAAAAAAAATACCATTACTTAAGAAATCAGTTCAAAGACAAGCCAGTGGCAAAACAGAAAGCTTGAGGTTCATATTAATTTTTGTTTTCTGCTTTACCTCCTTAATACGAACACTTCATTCATCCTTCATTGCACTTTGCCTTTCTGGCTTTTTTTAAAAGGATTCTTTCCTTCATTTGTACTCAGTTTCTGGAGAGTTTCCACCTTGCAGCTGCACCCAGGGTGGTCACAGCGATGTGGGGGAACCATCCCCATATCCAGAGCACACAAACCCAGCACCGAGGGCTTTTCCTCTTGGAAACCTTCGCTCACCCCAGGGTCCTGCTGCCCCAAACCCCTGAAGGCAGCCCTGGAAGCCATAAACACACAGGTAACAACCCAGCTCCCTGTCCACTGGAAATTTAGTAGTTGCCCATCTCTAAAATGCTGCCTAGCTCAGAGTCACGGTTTCTGAGTGGATTTTTTGGTGTATTTTTTGGTTTTGGGCTTTTTTTCCCCTTCTACTCAAGAAGTCTTCCTCTTCTATCTGTAAGTCTTAATATTGAAATAAAACTTCAAAATGTACTTTGTATGTTTGGCCAACAAACACATCCCTGTTTTACCATGTAATAAATTTAAAAATCAACTCTGCTCATTGTCTTAACAAACCCTTCTCTGAAAGATAATTAAAACCACTTCCCAATATACAACCAAAGTTTTATTTTTATAGTCTATCTTCAATTATGGCATAATCCTTTCTTTTTTTTTTAAACCAGTGAAATATACAAATCACACAAGACAGAAATATGTACATTAAATGTACAGAACAGAGGAAAGGACATAGAAGATTTACATATCTGAATGACAGGTAAAATATTTTACATTAAATAGGGTTTTAATAGCTAGGATCATGAGATTCAATTCTGCTCAGACAGAAGTCACTAAAAAGGAACATGAGGTGATTCAGCAAATGAAAAAAAGATCATGGTTTTTGTACAATAAAAACCAAAGTGACATATTCAATGAATTAGTGCTTTATTTATTTCTCTTACTTTAAAGATATTCTTTTCAAACATCTGAAGATGAGGGGTAAATATGTCCTTGTACAATAAATTAAGAGCAATAAAGCGCCATTAAGAAGCTGATAAATGATCAAGACGAATTTAATGATACAACTTAAAGGCTTGTGAAAAGTCAAGGCTTTAGTACAACTAGGCTAAAGTGAAAGGTTTTCTTCACTTGGTATCTTCAAAACCATTTTCTTGTAGGATGGGACTGAGTTGGAAAGTGGCATCTGAACCAAAGATGAAATCCTGTGTAACTACACAGCAGGGGAGGAACACGTTTTGTTTGACAAATAACAATTCTCTGTTCAAAAACTGAAAAGCAAGGGCCGAATGCAGCACATTTTGGAGTTGGAAGGTGTCTCCTTTCAGCAATTATCAATAATGCCCTTAATGTGAGAGTGGAATAGAAGTGATCTCCAGACTGGCATCAATTCAAGTGCAGGGTGCTGCCTCTACCAACCACCCAAGGAAGTCCTGAAATTGGGAAGAGGCTTACTTCTTTGTGATTATCCTTAAAACTTCTGAACGTTACAAGTTCTTTAAAAAATAATAATTAAAAATAAAAACCCACCAAAAGCTTAGAATCAATCTAAACACCTGAAGAGATCTGAAAAAGAAAATAAGGGATGAACTGCCCCTTTAATTTAGATGTTTTATTTTTTTCCTAAATCATTAAAATATATAAGTACAAAAAGCTTTGAAGTAGCAGACACCAGAGACCACAGCTCTCCCATATATAAGTAACTGCTCGAGTATAGTCTGAACAGTTGTATAGTGTATATCTGCAGTATATTATCTAAAGCATGTGTATTAAAGACATAGGATGATAAATTTGGTATTGCTGCAACATTTCATTGAACTATAATAGTCAGTTAATGTTATTAAAATATGAAACTACTGTCTCCTTGAGTGAAAGCGTTCCCAAAATCTGCGAAAAAAATAAAAATCAGTCATTCCAAGAGCGGATATCTAATGATTTATTTTCTCACATAAAATTAGAGGAGTTATTTGTCAAGCTGTGTTTTGAAAGACAGCCAGCTCTTACACCATTTTAAGGCATTTTCAAATGTGGGGAACTCTCCTTTGCATGGGCTTTGCAGGCTGGGAAAGCAAAGCTGTGTGTGAGCATTGCCCAGCCCCAGTGCTGCGGGCAGCCTGCCCCGGGCTGCTCCACGCCCGCCGGGACACACGAGACACCCGAACGTCACAATGAGCTGATGAGGCCAAGCTCTGCCTTGAAGAATACCTTTATTATTCACCAAGGCAGATTTTTTTTTTTTTCTGGGTTTTTTTTTTTCCTGTCTTGCTCGGTTCTGGAACCAGCCCCGGTGACTTGGGGATAGCGCAGTTGAAGCCTGTCTGATCCTTTGCTCTTTGCCCTTGTGATGAACATACCCCTTATTTACAGAGCCCTACATGCACTGAACAGTTTTATACACCCTACTCTAGGAACTCCTAGTGTCTGAACCTAAAAGTCATGGACAGCTCTGTGTGTTCCTCACATCCATAAGGATGGCTCTAACACCCCAAGCACATTACATAGTTGCTCTGTCTACTGCACGTGTATTACGTTCCATGGATCTAAATTAGGATATGTTGGCTTTTCCCCTCAAACTACTGTATTGTTTTTAAGAAAAGTCAATTTTTTTTTTTTAACTTTGTAAAATAAATATTCTCAGATTCTCCCCCGTTATTGCCAAAAATATGAGCCTCACACAGTTCTGGGATGGACGCAGAGAGGGTTTCCAGGCACTTCTCTTTGCAACCTTTATATTTTTCTTTTTTCTTTCTTTTTTTCTTTTCCTTCCCCACCCTTTTTTTTTTTTCTTTTTTTTTTTTTTTAATTTTCTTAAAAGAAGACGAAAACTCCTTGGACTCTATAAATAAAGTGGAGATAGTCCTGCTGAAAGGGAGAGGGGCCTGCACCCCTTTGCTGGCAGGAGGCTGCAGCTCCTCCCACCTCGTCCGTGCCCTATTTGCACACAAACTGGTCCACGATCTCTGTGCACAACTTGCATTTCACATAGCAGCACCAGTGGAACTTGCAGTGGCAGCGCTCTCGCTGCACCGTCTTGAACTGGTCGTAGCCCCGGCCGCAGCACATGAGTTCACAGCCGTCCATGCCCTCCGAGGTCTTATTGCACAGGCGGCCCTGGGTGCCCAGGGAGCCGGTGCTCTCGTTGCGCACGCAGTAGTCGGGGCTGGGGTCGATGTACACCAGGTCGTGGATGGTGGGCGCGTTGAAGCGGCTGTTCACCTGCACCAGCTTGCCCCGGCTGTTGAGCTTCATGGCGGCGGCGCTGTCGTATTTCTCCTTCAGGGCGTCGCCCACCTTGCGGAAGTCGGCGAGCTGCAGCCAGCAGGTCTTGAGGCTGCACGAGCCGGAGACGCCGTGGCACTTACAGGCCACGTCAGCCAGGTTGTACACCGTCTGCAGAGTCGGGGAGAGAAGCAGGAACCATGATCAAAGCCTAGCACGGCTGCAAGAGCATTTATATCCCTCATCTCCTGCCCTCCGTCGCATTCCCACCAGCCCCTCCACAGTATTCACCTTAGCATCCTCTCCCCTCCTCCTATTCAGTGAGAATGACGAGTCAGCTGACACACCCATGCACCCCCAGCACCCCAAAGAGCGAGGAGGATGAGGAAGAGGAGGAAGAGGAGGAAGAGGAGGAAGAGGAGGAAGAGGAGGAAGAGGAGGAAGAGGAGAGTCTCACCAGCCTCTCCCCACAGCAGAGACAGCCACAACAGCACACACAGCCCAGACAGCAGCATCGCTCAGGCTGCACTCAAATTTTAGGAATTTGCTCTCACGCCAGCAAAGGATTTTGCTGTTTCATTGAGAAATGTAAAACATCTCCTTATTTTCTATCTGAGTTACTGTCCCTATTGATCTCTGCTTGAGGCTGCAATTAGGGAAAGAGTTAAGATTCCTCTTGCTCCTGGCTCAGCTGCAGCTGATTGTCTACTCTTGGCTCGGCATCCTCCTCCTATCCCAAATACTGCTCTGGAAGAGAGACTTAATCCAACAAGAAACCCCCAAACACCTATGGGTGGGAGTCAGAGCTGCATAGCAATATCCTCTTTACAAAGCTTTGGCAGGGAAACCTCAGTCATTTGCCCTGTACAAATAAAATAAGAGTCAGTGTTGACACTGCCCCAAAAATCCTGGGGTCTGACACATTAGATGATACTGTAGACAGCTTCCACCCAGCAGTTACAGAGTCTTAACACTGCCAAATGGCACTGCACAGATGAGGCTGAGGAAGGAAAAAACTCCTCAAGTCTCTGTAAGCAACTGTGAAAGTGTCATTTTTCTTCTTCCTAATAGTAATTGGCCTGTCCATTGCTCTCAGACACCCTCCTCTTACATTTAAATACTATTAATTTTCAATTATCTTTCATCCTTCTTCACCTTAGAGCACAAGTGCAAAGTCTCAGCTGACTATTGTTGGCACTTCAAGCTCTAGGAAAATAATGATTTTGGCTCTTCATATTCAGACTATTAAAAAAAAGTTTACACCCATTCATTTAAAGCATTTTTGAGATTAAAGAAACCATGAAGACATGTTCAACCACAGAAGGCCATGTTTTCTAATAGCAAAGAGAAGCTTTTCCCATACTCTTAAACCAGGAAAAGAAAAAAAGTCAGAACAATCTTGTGGCACAACTCCAGCCTGGGAAGCCCAGCACATCCCTCTTCCTTCCAACACATACTGCCCTGGTTGGAAATACCAACTAATAAAATTCCGTTCTACAGAGAACCCAGAGCGAGCAGGGCACTTTTCATGAAACAATACAGAGGGAAACACAACACGCTTTGGTCCCAGCCTCCCCTGTGAGGAAAGCAACAGGACTGTCAGACAACCAAAAGCAACACCAACCCATGCACTCCCCACCCACCCACACCCCGTGTTTGCCGTTTTCTCGTTTTGAGCACCAAACCAACGACAAGCCACGGTGGCTGCTCTGTGCCCCGCTGAACCACGTTCTCCCCAAAAAGAAGGGACGAGGAGGAGCGTGGGGGGACACGCTGTGGCACAGACACTCACTCTTCTGCCGGCCTCGTTGTTGTGCAGGTTCATCATGATGCGCGCGCTCTCGTAGGAGCCCCGTTGGTAAACGCGCTCGCGCTCGCGCGCGTCCACGAACTCCTTGGCGAAGCGGTAGCCGTACTCGATGTTGTCGCCGCAGCCGCCCCACAGCCAGTCCCGGGGCAGGTCCTTGGGCCGCGCGGCGCGGCTGCAGCCGCACGAGGACAGCTCGCCCTCCCGGCACGCGCGGCTCATGGCGTTGACCACGCCGGCCGCGCTCACCGCGTAGGTGAACGCCGTCTCCCGGCTGCCTGCACGGAGACACAAGCGGGGTTAGGGCACAGCCACCACTCCCTCCCCTGTGATTATCCCCTGATGGGCCAGCAGGACCAAGGCTCTCCAGAGCCACCAAGTTCACTCGCATGGTAAAAAGCAGAGTAACCTGAACCATGCTGCCCAAAACATCCTCATTCTGAAAGAGCCAAGCCAAACCAAGCCAAGCCAAGCCATGAGAGCACACACAGTCTGTCAAGAGCAGAAATCACTTCTCTTTCATGCTGGTGAGCACCTGGATGAAAGTGCAGAGTGGAGGTGGGTCAGGGCCATGAGGCCAGCGGGGACAAAGCAGCCATGCCTGCGTGTGAGGGGAGGGAAGGGTAACAGGCTCCCTGTCCTTCAGAAGAAAGAGATGTTAAATACATCTTTTAAAAGTCTGGTTCTTAAATTACTACTTTTCAAATGTGATTGATGCACTTCACCCACTTATTCCAATTTATTTAAAGTTCAAGCAATTTATGAAGTCTCCTAGTATCAAAAGAAGCGTGCAGCAGAATAACACACAACTTTTCACCCTACACATTAGCCAGACACTTCTGGAGGAGACTATTTAAAGCTAACAACAACCTGTGCTGGTTATTATCCACCACTTCAGCTCTTGTGAATATGGCAAGGGAGCCCATGGACAATCATTTTTACAAATTACAGGGAAGAAAAAACCCTTGGCACGAGGTGGCCTTGAAGGTTTTCTCCTGCATCTGGTGCCCTTAAATGGAAATGGAAAACCCCAAGTTTCCAGCTTTCGTTAAGAAAAAGTTACAATACCCATAATGTAAGACATGGCCACATACCATCCTATTGACAGTATCAGATCCCACCTCATTAAGTGTCTGACTTCCCCAATCACTTTTCCAAGGGTGCCACAAGTTCTGAGTACAACTAGCGGAGCTTGCAGATAGACAAACACAAAACTTGCACCAGAGAGCAACACTTGAAGTTTGTTTTTCTCCTTAAGAGACAGCATCCCAATGGGTCGTTTCCAAGAAAGATTCTTGGAATGACTAAGAATAGACTAAATATTTTTTTTTCTGTTTATATGATTTAAGTTTTATTCCTAATCTTTAGTCTAATCAATAGATCAAGCTAGTTTTTAGTCTTCGTTTTACGTGATTTTACTTAGGGAACATCATGACCTTTAAAAACTAGGATGTTAGGAGGCTGTGTTTTGGGCAAATCATATATATTTAGACAGCAACATTTTAGGCAGAATCTCTTTGTACAAGATGTATCATGACAGGTCAAATCTAATAGGAGCTTTCAAGCACTTCTGAAACATAAATAATTTGAAGTCTGGTTCATATTTAACATCAAGATGACACCATGATCAGAGCAGCTTTGTTAATACAACAGCTGTCATCCACTGGATTGATTTTAGTACTAGATGCTGGGTTTAAACGGGAAAAATCAGAAATCTTATGTTAGGAAAGATGAGACTTAAAGATCAGAAGCATTTTGCTACCTTACAATGGTCTATACTCACAGACACCTGCTCTTGGAAGTATCTACAAGAATTGTGGGTACAAAGGGTTACAGGAGTTTTCAGTTTTCAGTTAAAAAAACATTGGCTTTATGTGGTGACTTAAGCCTTGCATCTACTGCAAACTATAGCAGGGGGAACCTCATACAGATTTTAATGTTCCCCTTTGCTCTGTAACACACATTTTTGGATTAATTCCTTAAGCAAAATTTCCACTATGTTGAGAGGAAAGAAACGTGGTCTGCTTTGGACCACAGGACTCGCCTCTTCCATTCCAGTTTTGTTCTTTTGCATGTTTAGTTAACTCATGCTTTCTCATGGTTAACATTGCCCCTTATTGTGGGATTTAAACTCATAAAGCTGACTATTTTTGACTCGTTTTCATTATTAACCTGGAACAAATTTTAAAGAACTTACTCTCAGTGGGAAGGAGAAGGAAAGGCTTGGGTACAGGAAGGAGAGTTGCCCTGCAAGTTCCCTCCTTGAGCATTTAGGCAAATTATAAAATAGCATCAGCTGCTGAAGTGCACTTCAAGCCAACACTGCCTCAAGTCATCGACCCCAGGAACACATTAAGAGTGATGGCTCCACATGGATGAGTTACTCTGAGTTTTCTTTTTTTCCCTTCTTTTTTCAGTCTTTAGGCACAACTGTGCTTTCCTTCACTGTCAAACATATCTGTCTTTTCCCACAGTCCAGGATTTCTCTCTATTGTAGCCATGGCAAGCAAACACACATTCCAAACACGTTCGAGTCCCCTCTCTCCCATATATATAAAACATAGAAATGGAACTGTTCAATATACACACACTGTAGGAAGCCACCCACAGAGCAGGGCGCTGAGCTTTACACTCCATCTGAATAAGTCTGCAAGAACAGAACCTTTTTTTTTTTTTTTATACCTGAATATAAGATACAAAATGTTCTTTGTCCTGCATTTTAAAAGCATTCAACATCAGGCTGAAGGCAGAACAAGCTGGACCCCAACCACACGGAGCTGTAGGGGGAGGATCCAGTGATTTTGTTTCCTGTTAGCACTTAGCAAAGCCCATGTGCAGCCTGCACAGGGCTGGCCACAAAGCCGGGAGACGGCAGCAAGCACCGTGGCCTGACCTGGGAACCAGCACCCGAGGAGAGCAGAGCAGAACACAGGCCCTAAAACTTTACAGTTCAATAAGCCACAGAGCAAGTTTCCAAACCCAAGGGCAGGTTTATTTGTACAGCTTTAGCTAACTGCAGGGTAAATCCTGGAAGAAAGACTGTCCATTGACACACGGGGCCGTGGCTGTGCCGTGCCCGGGAACTCTCTGGGGCGCAATCAAGGGCACGAGGCAAAGCCTCCCAAACAATGGGCACTCAGAGCCTGCACCCTGCACTGCTGGCAGCAAGGGCACCTGACAGCCCAGCACACAGCCCACGGCAGGCTGGAGTCAGTGGGACCAGGCTCTGAAAGCGTCCACTCTTCCCTCCACACAGAGGAACACCAGCTGGGCATTACTGAGGGTCAGCACGAAATACTACAGCTGCTACACCTCCTTCTTCCTCTCACTGAACACACTCTTCATGCTCTCAGTCCTGAATATGGCTATTAACCCTGCTTCCATCTGCAATTAGAATAAGTGGCTTAATTACATGATGAATTGCTGTGTAGACATCAGCTAATACAGTCATATCCAGCAAAAGGGTGCGGCAAAGTTATTTAACTTGAAAGGAGCCACCTTTAAATAGATCTGTCACACTTGGGGAGGGCAGAAATATCGATTCCAGAGACTGACACCACAAATCACGGGCCCCATCCTGTGCACTCCTTCACACCAACAGTCCCCCTGAGCTAATTTTCACTTGCTTGGATAATAAATAAGGGCTGAAGAATGAAGGCCTAAATTTTAAACAGATTAATTTTCTGACATTTTTTCGACTAGAACAGAGAGGTGTACAGAAGAAGCTTGCTTTCATGTTTTTAGACTTTTAGGCTTGGGTAAGGTAAAAAAAATCCCAAACTCTATGGAGGGTTAATACTGTGCTTTAAAAAGCCTAGGGAAGGTTGTTTATCTAAAATCAAATATTCCAATTCGGTACTTTCATGCAATAGATTTTTTTCTATTTGTCTGACAATCTCCAAATACCAACTTCTTTTAACAAAAACTCAGACCAAATGTGAATTGATGCATTCCTTCAACTTTAAGTGGAGTCAGCCCATTTACAGACAAACCCAGACTGAAACCAATTTTAAAACTTTTCCTTTTTCTAAAGCAGGACAGAAAAACACTGCCATAAAAGCTTTGCTTTACAACCCCAACTAAAAAGCAGTGCTGCATTTGCCAGTGAACTGCTCACTACTTAAAGCATCACAAATGTCACCCAGAAAAGTAGGCATTTTTCAGTTGATTACACAAAATCAGCAATCTGCCTTGAGAAAGTCAGAGGAAGGTTTCACCATGGACCCCTTCAACAGCACTGGTTAAAATTTTGCCAAGGATTTTAAAGTACTATGAGGTCCTCAAATGCTTATGAAGTCAGGCAGCACATGAGCACTGAAGGCCATTTCAGAGAGGATCTGACAGGGGAAGGGTTGGGTGCCCACCAAATTGTGACAAGGTTTAAACAAAAATCTCTCTCTCACCATGGACATGATTCCATCAAATGTCAGTTACAAGGAGAATCACACATTTTACCATGATAGAACTCATCTCATGAAAATTACCCTGCTACAGTAATTTAAAAATAAATCTGTTTTCCTTAAAAAAAGAGAAAAAAAACCACTGTATCTGGAAATAAGCAAGGAGGAATTGCCTATAAACACTAATCGACAGAGCAGCAATTTTCAGTTAACCTCTGGACCAAGAGCGATTTATTATCCAGCTGCTAACTTTGGAACTAGACATGGACATCTTTAATTTTACAAGACGCTGCTGGTTTTAATTCTTGTAGGTTGCCTTCGTTTTGTCTCAGGTTCTCTAAAAAAGAGATTTCAGGGCCTCATTTTTCTCTCTCCCCTATTCCCATATGCAAATATATATTCCTGCTTTGTTTTCCAAGACATATGGCTGGACAGTGGTGGGAAATCACCTCCAGCTAAAAATAATCCAGCTCCTTTGCCAACTTTTAGAAACACTTGATTGTATACAGTACTCAGCAAGAACCTGGCAAGAGATTCAAGTGCAGAACAGTGTGTGCCATACATATCCTCAGACAAGAGCTTAATCATAAAGACGTTGCTTCCTACCTATCTGCATGACTCTGCCAAAAACAGAGTTGTTGTCCACAGTGCTGCAATTCCATCTTCTGTGTCTGAATTGATACTGGCACTCCTTAATGCCCGTCTTTGCACCCTCTCCAATGAACTGCATATGGTCCTGATACAACTGGCAGAGCTTCTTCTGTCCTTGGGAAAGCCCTGCTAGCTGGCTGCACAGGGGCTGGGCGCCTATAATGTACACCTCTGACATCTGAACGGGGTTCATGGGGTTCATGGGGTTCATCCCTAAAGACCTGCACAAAGAAAGAGTTGCATTAATAAACAGAAGACTTCAAAATAAAATAAAGCAATTTTTTAAAAATCTATAAATCCAAGACTCATATCTTATACGCGAGTATACAACTCCTGTTTTTGTTAACAAGTGAGGAAAACCCCAGGCACTTAAATATGAAACTTTTGTTTTAAGAACAGGACAGAAGTTACCGGTTTCCACCCATGTGGTTATCACCATACATTAGAGACTGAAGCACGACACAGACTTGGAAGACTTGCATCTAGGCAGTCTTTTACCAGCTTAAATTGACACAGTAAAAAAACCAGAAGCTCCAAACAATTGCAAGGCCAGGAAAATAAATAAAGCAAAAATGAAAAAAGCTCTCCAAATCCCAATTTGTCTTAACACATATTTTATACTTAAGTCTGGGTTTTTCAGTCTGATCTCTTATAAACAAATATAGGGAAACCTTTAGCAAGCCAGAAGTAGAAACTTGCTACAGACTAGTTTAGCTTCTTCCAAATGACAACACAGAAACATACAGGCAAGTGTATTCATTCTAAACAAAATCAACTTTGTTTTCTTCATTCTTAAAGTGCTCTTCACATGATACATTTCAATTAAAAAGTAGCTATTAATCCAAAACGCATCACTGGAAAAAGCAGAGAAACACCTATTTCAAGAACTCTCAACATTGTACACTATACAGATAATTTGCCAAAGCAGGAATTTAAACGTACTCCTTTGTAACGAAATATATTTGCAAACATTTCAGTGACAGAAAACTTCAAACTGAAACTTTAAGTTTTTCCTTGCAAATCAGCATTTTCTCTTGTACATGCAAACCATCTAATGTAAGGGAGTTGAAGCATCTCTTTTAAAAGAAAAACAATTATAGTGATTTAAAGATGATAAAATTCATAGAGAATCCACCAGACAGCATTCTAAAAACTGTGTTTTACTAGACGAGATGTCGCACATTTACCCTCACTCGACAGACCCGTTCTACTCAACATATTCCGACAAGAACTTCTCCCCTGCTGCCTCGCTCCGGCCGCACTCCCGCAGAAACAAAGTACAGAAGAAGCACAGAGACATTGAAGCAAGCAAATCTTGACACCCCTTCCAAAAGCAAGTCGATACGAGATGCTTACCACCAAGAGCTGGCTTCTATTACAACCTGGGTAAAAGAGGAGAAAACGGCCAGAGCCACTACGAGGTACTGAGAAGCCATTGTACTGCCAACTGTCCCCACAGCACCTCCGTGGATTAATACTGCACTGGATTTCTGGAGGGGGGAGAAAAAGGATCAGATTGTTTATTGCTTCTCAGACCATTTTCGAGCATTCAAGTTTAAACAACGGAAGTCTCCGGGCCCCTTTTAACTTGACTCTGCCTCGCCGGCCCTTCTCCGCGCCGAGGCTCTGGTGCCAGACACAGGCGCAGCTCCCGCGGCACCGGGCAGAGCCCACCCCGCAGCCCCCACCCCTCGGACACCGCCTTCCCGGGGCGCCCGCCCGTCCCTGCGCCCCGGCCCCGCCGCTCGCACCCCGCCCCGCCACGGCACGGCACGGCACGGACACCGGAGCCGTCCCCGCTGCCCCGGGGCGCAGCGACCCGCGGGCATTACCCCATGGCAGCCCGCGGCGGGGACACGGAAGGCTCGCGGCTGGCTAAAGGCGGCCGCAGGTTCGCACAGCGAGCCCGACAGGGAGGGGGCCGGCGCCTCGAGGGGTCGGTTCCGCGGGGGCCCGAGGGCTCCCGCCCCGCGATGATGCGGCCGCTCCTTGCCCTGCTCCGTCGGCCCCTAAAACATCGCGGCGCAGCCTCGGGGCTCCCGCCCGCCGCGACCGCCGAGCTCCGCGCTGGCACCGCGGGCACTGCCCCGACGGCAGCCCCGGGGCCGGCACCGGGCCGGGGAGGTACCAGGAGCGACAAGGGGCAGCTCCGCGTCCCGACCCGGACCCTGCAACAACCGGGCTGCCGTCCTGGAAGTCAAAGGCTTCCCCCGACAGGTCCCGCGATCACCGTCTGGTCCTCACACGGGACTCTCTCACTCTCTCCCCAGAGCCATTCCTGGGGTTGATCTCCCCTCCCCTCGGAAGGGAAAAAAAAAAAAAAAAAAGAAGAAGAAAAAAAAAGGACATTTCGACACTTGGGGGCTCCCTATTCCCTATTCATTCTCCAAAGGCCCTTAACGCTGAATTGAAGGTGTTCTTAATTCTAATTTATTTCTGTTTGCGAAGGGCCGGCAGGAGCGGAGCGCTGGCAGCGGGGCGGACACGGAACCTGCCCGGGCACACGCGGGGGAGCTGCGGCAGCGCGGGGACCCCCACGGGCCGCTCCCCGACACCGCTCGGGGGCCGCAGCCCGGGGGCGAAGCCTCCCCGCGCCCTGCGGGTTAAACATCCATCCCCTGCCGCGGGAGATGAGCCCCTCACATCCCCGCTGCTGGGGGTGGGTAAACGAGGCCGGTCTCCCGCAGCAGAAAGAGCCCGCCCGTCCCACGGGGGCTCGGTCCCGGCAAAGGTGCGAACGCCGAGGGCGCGCTGAGCGAGGGACGAGGCGAAGCGAGGAGTGCGCGGGGCAAGCCGCGACACCCGACAGCGCGCAACGCGCCGGGCTCTTTTCAGCGTGTTACTTCTTGAAACAATGACAGTCACAAAGGAGCGCCACGAAAGTGCCCGAGCCCAGCCCGAGGAGGTCGGAGACGCCGGTTCCCATGCGGGACGCCGACAGCTGTGCATCAGCCCGGCCCAGCAGCCAGCCCGGGCACGCCGAGCTGCCGGCGGGGCAGAGCCGGGAGCGGGGCAGAGCCGGGAGCGGGGCGCTGTCCCCGCAGCAGGACGCGGCCGGCAGGGTCAAAGCGCTCTGTCCCCACAAGGCCGGGGCGCCCCCGAGCTCGGAGCCCCCGGGCCGGCGGTGGCGGCTCGCTCCCAACAGGGGGCGGCCTCGCTCGGCGGCTCTGCCCCTCCGACGGCAGCTCCGCGCCGCTGCCATCGCCCCTGCGCTGCGCGCACCGCGCCGGCTGCGAGGCTGCGGAGGGGACACCTGCGCCCGGGGCCGCGAACAGCCCGGCCCTGCCAGCCCGGCCCTTCTGCACGCAGCAGCTGACAAGGTACCACCAGAAACAACACACACAAAAAGCCCATAGTAAAAAAAAAAAAAAAAAAAAAAAAGAAAAGAAAAAAGAAAAGAAAAAAAAAAAGTCAAAAAAGTCAGACTGCCCAGCAGCACGGAGCACTGGAGATGGGGAGTGTGAGGCACCGCGCTCAACTTTGTAGGGCCGCGGAGATTGGGTTTTGGTATTTAACGCACCCCATGCGGAGCCCGCGCTCCTTGCCGAGATGAAAAGAGAGGCTTTTACAGATCCTGCACCGCGGGATCGCCTCTGATCCTGTTTTACACGGGGTGTCTGGAAAGCCTGCGAAGGCATCTGGTTTTCCAGGAGCACTACCAGCGGGCAGGCGGCATCCAGAGCCCGGCTCCGGGGGGCTGTAAACCGCGGGAGGCGCAGCGGCTCCGCGGGGACCCCCCGGCCGCCCCCCGCTCCCCGCTGCGCCTCCACAGCCATTTGGAGGAGCCAGAGCACGTCTCACGTTTGCAGGGAAAGGCACGGGTCGGGTCCCGGCCCAGCTCTCCCCAGCGGAGGCGCAGAGGGGCTGTTTTCCCGGGGGTGAAGGCACATCGTGTCCTTCCCTCGGCGCCCGGGGACAGCCTCGCTCCTCGGCCCCGCTGAACTCCCCGTGACCCTCCGAGCGCAGCCCATTTACCATACAATTGACAATTAAAAACAAACAAACAACAAAAAGCCAACAGCCTTTCCAACATGGAGTCCTCGCAGCGCCAAGGGGACCCCGAGGAGCCGCGCTCCTCCGCGCTGACCCTGGCGGGACCCGCTGCAGATGCAGAGTGATAATCTCCAGAAACTGAGAATAAAATTAAATGAGGGGGGGGAAGGGGGGGGGGGCTGACTCCGGGTCCTCCGCTGGCCCCCAGCCAGTTCTCCTTAAAGGTACAGGCCACCATTAGCGCCGACGTTGGGCTCCTCCATAGCGATCCTCCTCGGGAAACTTTGGGAAGTTTGGAAAGATGTCTTTAAACTCGCGTTAGGAGCCGCTGCCAGAAAGATGCACCGGGACGCGGCGGGCAGAGCGAGCCCAGCAAGTGTCCCTGCGGCGGGCAGCCTCTCTCTTCGGGGGGAAATTTAAAAAGAGAAGGAAAAGCAGAAAATACCAGAGCTTTTCCCAAGTGGGGAGCAGAACTCTCCGCGGCGGGTGAGAGCGGAGAGGCAGCAGCACCCGGCGCTGGCCGAGGAGGGCAGGAGAGGCCGCCCCGCACCTCGCCGAGCGCAGCCCACCCTGCGCGCCCGCGGCCCCTGCGGCGCGGAGCGCCCGCGGACTCACCTCCATCGCGCGGGATCACCGAGAGGGAGCAGCCAAGTAATCCAAGCGGAGCGGGAGGAGAAACGGCGAGACGAAAGTAAAATCCTGGCTCGCAGGAGCCAGGCAGTATCGTCCCGAGCCGCGGCCGGGGCAGCGCGGGGGCCCGCGGAGCTGGCGGGAGGCGGCGGGCGAGCGGCCGCCCTGTCCGGCGCAAACAGAGCGTGTCCGACTGCGGAGCGGGGCACCAGTGCAGCCTTCTTTCCAAGGTCCATCAGCAATCGCAGTAATTAGGGCTTTCCACCAGCAGAAGAAGAAGGACGTAAAAAAAAAAAAAAAAAGCCAAAAAAAAAAGACCAAAAAAAAAAAGCCAACCCAACACACGCACACAGCGCCCGTGGGCGTGATTGTGCGGAAGCAAATAAAAATCTTCACAAGAGGCAGCGAAAGCGCCGCGGGCGACGATCCGTCCCACCAGCCCAGGTGGTGCCGCCGCGGGGCTCCCCGCGCTCCCACCCGGCTCCGCCGGCGCTCGGGCCGCCGACCGCCCCCTCCGCACGGCGCGGACCGGCCCGCAAGAGGGGGACGATGGAGCCGAGCGGGTGCAGGGCTCCCCCTGCCCGCCCCTCTTCACTTGCTTAAAGGCTGGGCGGTGCAGAGCTGGGGGTCCGCCGCCGCAGAGCCATCCCGGGGCCGGCTCCCTCCATTTTACACTGAGAAGAAAAAGCCCAAACAGAAAAAGAAGTTTCTGCACAAGCGGGAAGGGGGAGGGGGGCTGTGCACGCGTTTGCCTGTCTTACGGGGCGACTGATCCTGCAAGGCGAGCAGGGGCAGGGGGAGGGGAGCAGTCCGGGCTTCAGGAGCTGCGGCTCCCCCAATCCATCGGTGCCAGAGGCGCCCAGCGCCGGGGAGCGGGAGAAGCGCCGGGAGAGCAAGCCGGGGCAGGCGGCGTCGCGGCAGCCGACCCTTCCTCCGTGGGGCTCTGCCCCCGCCGCTGCAGCCGGCCCCGCTCCCCCCGCGTCTCTCCCTCGCTCCTCTTCACCCCGCTGCTTAAAACTGCGAAAGAGGGAAAAAAAAAAAAAAAAAAAAAAAAAAAGAAAAAAAAGAAGGAAAAGAAAAAAAAAAAGTTAAGAGAGCCAACGGCAGCTGGAAAACTTTCTCGGCAGCGCATGCGCCCAGGGCCGGCCTATTGCAGACGGGGCTGGATTTTAAAGCTGTACGGCAGCGAGCGGGACCCCGCCGGCCCCGGGGCGGGGAGCGCCCCCCGTGCGAGTGCCCGGCCCGGCCCCGCATCACCGGCCCGGTCTCGGGGTGAAGCCCCGTGAGGGCAAACTCCTCCTGCAAAGCAGTGCCCCGTGCGCCCATCCCGGCCGGCGCGGTGCGTGCGGGGGTGCACGGCCCCTCCAGCACCGCCGGCTGCTCATCCCGGGCCGGGATGGGGGCACACGTACACCCGTGCAAACCTGTGTGCACCCACACACGCACATGTACACCCATGTACACGCTGCCGGGCTCTGCAGGCCGGCCCCGCGGCGCTCCCGCTCGCACACGTGTGCACACAATGTGCGGCGCACATGGCCGCGCCGAGCGCTGCCCAGCGTCCCTGCCGGCGGCCCGGGGACCGGCCCCGCTTGTCGCATGCTCCGAGGCGCGGAGAGTGCCGCCTGCCAAAGGGGACCGAGCGAGCTCGACGGCTCGTGTTCCTCCTCCTGCAGCGGCTTTTTGGCGCTGTAAATTTGGCAAGTTGTTGACAAAACTGTTTGAATTAAATCAAGTAAGACCCAATGAGAGCTACAGGGGAGAGGGGCTTCGCGGGCCCTTTGCACCTCCCCGCTCTTTCCCTGCTCTGCAGCCCTCGGGTTTTTATTGCACCTCTCCCGTCCCGTGTGCACCCGAGCACAGGAAATGGGAGCGTTCCCCCAGCCACGCCGTAACTCCGCAGTGTTTCCCTGCATCCGTCTGCAACTGCGGGTCCACGGGGGGAGGCGGGGGAGGGGGCGCATTATCAAAGCAGCCCTGGGAAATCCAACTAGCCTGCGAGAACAACTCCGCTATCAATAAATGCATTCACTCCCTCAAAGCCATTCCAGTGCAAACAAAATCCCTTCAGGAGGCCGATGGGGGACAAATCACATCGCGGCCGGCCCCAGCCCACCTGCCCCCGAGCCGAGAGCTCGCCCGCCCCGCCGGGGCGCTGCCCGCCAGGTAAGCGCAGCTCCGGCTGCTCCCGCCAGACGCGCCGCGATGGCCACGGCTCCCCTCGGCCCTGCGCCCCCGGGCCACCCCTCCGTGGCTATGGCGGGGCCCCGAACCCGGCCGGGGGGAGCCGCGCTGCAGGGGCCGCCGAGAGAGGCGCGGAATGGGAGCGGAGCCCCTCGGAGCGGCAGGAACTGGAACGGAGCCCCTCGGGGCGTGGAACGGGAGCGGAGCCCCCTCAGGGCACGGAACGGGAGCGGAGCCCCTCGGGGCGTTGAACGGGAACCCCTCAGGGCACGGAACGGGAGCGGAGCCCCCTCGGGGCACGGAACAGGAACGGAGCCCCCTCGGGGCACGGCGGGCAGGGGAGCAGCCCCGCACTCTGCGACACCTGAGCGCCCCGGCGGGGCAGCATCGCTCCCGGCTGCTTTCTGTACTCCCTAATACCCAAAGAGCCTTTCCATTAGGAATCCTCGCTGCCCGGGCTGCTGTTCATTCCTCGGGACGCCTGGTGAGGAATTTATAAATTAGGTGTAGCACCAGGTCCGGGGAGGGGGAAGGAATAAGGGGGCTGTTCGTTTCTTTAAGAAGACCAACCTTAGTTTTATGCCTAGTAAATAATATTTTATTGCCTTTGGTTTACTGTGGCATTTCAATTATCCCCTTTAGGAGTCTGCAAACGGCGCAGGTTAAAGGTCATTTCTCAAATAACTAGAATTAGTAAAGAATAGCAGAAAACTGTAAAAAGGGGAGGAGCTGTGCAGTAAAACAAGAAAGATCACCTGAAATAAACTAATAAAAAGCCCCGAGCTGTTTACCTCTCGCATTTGTATTCCCGAACGATGTTTATCATCATGTAATTGCACAATGTCATCGGGCACAGGAAAACGCCAAGCCCGGGATGATCCGCACGGGCAGGGCTGAGCGGCAGCTTGGCAGTGGGGAAGCCAACACCAGATCACTTTCTTTGCCGGGATTCCTATTTGCTGCCTTTAAAAAGAGAACTGAAGAGGGAATTTATAAATCACAGGCAAATTTTCAAGCTATGGCGCGTATAAGTGGAAATAAAGGGCAGAAATCCAAACATCCTGCAAGGCTTTAAGAATTTTAATTTGTCCTCGCTATTTAAAACAGCTGGGTGAAGCTAGAGGGGGCAGGAGGGAGAAGTATTGACAGCGTTACAGGCATTCATGCTGCCCAAGGTTTTGTTTTCCAGGTTTGTCAGTGATGGAGCTCTGAAGGTAACCAGACAGTTGATCTGTCTGGCTTTACTGCCAACATTGAAGAGTTTTCTGGAGAAAAAAAATTAAATTCTCAGAGTAATGTCATAAGAAGTGTGACGGTATCATTGAATGCATAAACAGCAGAACCTCAAAAAGAAGCACTAAAGGATTTTAGAGATTTAGGTCTGTTAGAGCTGTGCAATTCTCTGTAGGGCAGAAGTAAATAATTTCTGGTCTTTTCAATGTGTTTCTGCCATTTTTCTGCAGGGTAATGCATTTTAACAAAGGAGTGGTCACATCAAAACCTTGCACGCCTGTGTGGTGCTGTGTGATTTACACCTTTCCACCTTGGCCAATCGCAGGCTGTTCCCCATGAAGAACCCATTTAAGAAACAGAACTTGCAAGGAAAGGAGGTGTTTTCCTATGTGTCTTTTAGCTCATGATGGAATTTGGGTATGTGGTGTGGGAATGATGACACATCTCACACTGAGCCATTGTGCCCATGTCCAGCTGCTCTGGTGTCATTGCAGTGAATCTGCTTTTTCAGGTGAGGGTCATACCCCAATGCCCATTTGACAGAGCAGAGATGTCACATCACTGTGAACATGTAACCTGCACTCTGCCCACCAGACCATCTGCTTCAGGAATAACTTTATTTTAAGCTCCCAGGGATATAGATGTAACTGCCTTGAAATCACATATATACTTTCTCAAGGCCACTTTCTTTCTCAAAAACATGCTGTTGGGTTTTTTTTATAGACCACCCCATCGTCCAAAAGATGGCTAAACTACAAAAGAAATGCCAAAGATGATAATTTTATGCCAAATCTTGCAGTAAGTGTTATTTTCCAAATTCTCATCCAGTAGACGCAAGAAACAGGATTTGAAACTCTCTTTTTAGACAATAATTCTGTTTTTCTAGCCTGCCTAAATTCTGAACAGACTTTGACAAGTTGAGAGACTAGAAGACCAAGAAAAAAGTATGGATGTGTGTCCATGTATGGATGTACCCCCACCCTGTTCCTTTTCCATCTCTCAAATCCCAAATTCATGATGTTGAAAGACACCAGCATATTTGGGAGCAGCAAAAACCACTAGAGAGGAAGAAATAAGAGTCTAGATTAGCATTCATCTTTACCAGATGAAGACATAATTTAGATGCAGTGAGATGCAAATAAGAGGCAGCAGGCAAGAGAGGAAAGTTTACAGGGTAATGAAGGGTGACAAGTTCAGGTGAATACACCAATCTCCAAACCTGCAAAGCCTGTAGAAAAAAAATATACCACTTTACATTTAAATTGATGATAACTATACCAATTTATCATTACGAGTAATGAACTGCATAGCAAACAGCCCAAATTTGTCTGCATTATCAGCTGGACAAAGACAGCTGTGCAAAACTCAGGTGGGTTCTTTCCATTTCCTTCTTTTGAGGTCTAATATACCCCAGTGCCACTGCAGAAACCACAGCGCAGGTACAAGACATGTGTTCTGGGAGGAGGAAAATAAAGAGATGAGAAAATAATTTAAAAAAAGAAAAACAAAACAGAAGTAACTAAAAGCTATTGAACAGGATGCCAACGGGATGAACATCTATTGCAGCATGGGGCTCCCCTGCCCTGAGCTCAGCCAGGTGGAAGATGGTCAGCAAATGCCCTCTCCCAAGGGCAGGGAAGGCTGTGTTTTGGTGCCCCACAGCAATGAGGGCTGTTCTGGCAGGCTGGTG